TATGCCTCGAGCCCTCAAAACCACCACTGAAAGGCGCTGCAGGGACGTACTGTAGCTGAGAGATATCTGCACATCCCCCAGCTCTGAACACTGACAAGCACAGCAATCATGAACTTTTAGCTGTACGGTGCAGTACGGTGTGTGTGTGTGTGTGTGGTTGTTTGGTGTGTACCTGTGGGTCTTCCTCGGTCTCAAGGTCTCTCCAGAGCACCCTGCCAGCCTGACCGAACTCCCCCTCCAGAGAAAACAGCACCCTACCCACCACATGGCGTTTACCATCCTGCTCCACACTCAGCACACACACACTCAGGGTGCTGTGAAGCACACGCAACGTTGACACCTGTGGAGCCAATGCACTCATTCCTCAACATCAAAAAGCAGATTTCATTTATCCACAATATTTATCTGAGCTATGACCTCAGAGTCAGTCTTTCTCTGTGTACTGAATGAACTCTGATAAATTGTTGTTCTTAGTATTTAATCACTGACGAATGGGAACAATACTGTTGCCAATACAGAAATTAGACCTTCACCCATGATTCTGAAGTCAAGTGTGAAATTGCACAGACTGCGTTCAGTTTTGTTGCTCCTAACTCCCAACGCTCCCTTTAAACTTTCAGAGAATGATATCCTTCGAGCATTTTACAATCATTATAAAAATTAAATTAGAAAAATCTCTGTGCCCATCTGACCCTCCATCTCTTATTCCTCTCTCTCAGTGGGTGTATTACTCGGGACCTGGGTATCAGTATTCGTCCCCTTTCACATCTCCAGTCAAAACATTATAAAAACATAAATGATATCAGCTTTAAATAAAAGTTAAGGAAATCATTTTTGTCTTCTCTTTTGTCTCTAAAGTTCTAACTTCTAGATGTGAACTTCTGGAAACTTTTCTGCGCTCACCTGGAAAATGAAGCAGTCGGTGAACTCGGGGTCTGGACCCGTGCCCCGGGCCTTGGCTTGACGGGGCCGCCTGTCATCAGGGAGAAGTCTGAGCTCCACCATCGTGACGTTGCCATGGAAACGTGGAGGGAGGTTGCTGAGGCGGAGCAAGAAGACCATGAGCTGTTCGCTGCTGTGTCGATACTCCACGGAGAAGCAGAGGCGGGAGGCCATGCCGGGAGGGGGGGCCACCACCTCATTTAGAGGGGGTACAGAGTAGAGACCAGCCAAAACCGTCCCCACTGGGTACCAGCCTGAAGGAAACAGCAAAATATCACAGTTTTTCTTAAACTTAATGAAAGCTATGTGATACTTTGGTGTATTTGTCAGGCCCAGGAGTGGCCCTGCTGGTTTGAAGGAGTGTAGGCGAGCTGGTCCACCCCAAAAGCGCCACATCTGTCCAGACTGAAACGTCTTAACAACAATAATATCTTCTTCAGGTGATCGTAGGTGAATGCTCCTATTATCCTCTTATGTTTCCCCAAGCATACAACCAGCACCAACAAAGTGGCTCTAACTGTCTTGATACGCTGTCATATAAAAAGAAGCAATGACCTACTCCTCACTGAGAGCGACCCACGATGAGCCAGTATGTCCCGCTGGGGATCCTCCTCCTCTTTCTTGTCCTGCTCGTTATTTTTCCGATCTCCATGGTTTTGTGTGATGAAGCGAGGAGGTAGAGTGAAAGCGATCTCGCGGGGCCTTCCACACATAGAGACAAATAATATTAAATGAGTGTTGAGTGGTGCTGCAACTGCCTTCAGCAAATAGCTGTCAGTGGTCAGAGATGTCAGTAAAATTCGGGCTAAATTCCTCATAAACTGAAAATAAAAGACGCTGTGCCTTATGTCAAAATGTTCTCACACAAAAAATCTTGGAGAAAAAAAGGGAAATATGGGTTATTAAACAACATCTGTTAAAAACTAGAAACAAGATCTAACAGATAAAGACTTAAACATATACTAGCAAATAGAAGATATGCAGGCTTTATGTCGTGAAATACATTTTTAATCTTTAGTCTATAAAGATTGATATTTTCTCAGTACTCATGGGCCCAATCACAACCCAAATTGTTATAGTTTTGTCACTGAGTTTTAGTGTTAGTGTGCTGGCAAACACCTGCTGAAGAACTCAAATCTGCCTTAGTGATTCCTGCTACAGGAGGTATCTCCAGGACCACACAGATTCACAAGGACAAACCAATATGAGCCATAGTGTAATACTGGGAACCACCTGCAATCACTAATGAGGACTGTGTGATAAAGCGGAAAGCCTGTGAGTCTTATTAATATGTAATATTTTTTGAATCAATAAATTAATGCTTCAAGAGCCTGTATGTAGATATTTTATGTAAGATGCTCACTCACGTGGCCCAGGAGCCCTGAGACACCAGGATCACTGGGGCAGAGCATGCTGGGACTGAAGGCACTGCAGAGAGCAGCTCTTCATACTGCATCTGCTCTTTTTTCCTCGTCCTTAGGTAGCACACTATCAGAATCAGCAGCAGCAACAGCAACAGGACACCCACAGACAGACCAACAGCAAGCTGTAACATGTGATCTGAACAAAACACAAAGAGGAGGAACGATAGGGTGTAATACAGGTGTATCACAGGCAGTAGGTTTAATCTAGATTCCTGCTCACCAGCCATGAAGAGGTCAGCTCCAACATGTGAATAACTTTTCTTTCCTTGTCAGCTTTGACTCAGACAGACTCACCAGGAATGAAGCTACTGCTTAGCATTCATTGTTAATGTGAGAGGTTACCGTTTGTGACTCCGCAGAGCTGTGAGGGTGCGACACATCTGGCTGGTTCCCATGCTGTTATATGCATGGCCGGATTAATCTCCTGAGGACCCACCGGGCAAAAATTTACCGTTGGGCTCCAGTGGAGCCTCAAATTAATTCTAAGTTAAATTAATTCACCAGACACCCAGAAACTAACTTGAGCTTTAGAGCGGAATTTATTTGTTAATTGTTTGCTTTGCATAAATTAAAAGATGAAACATTTAATAAATGGTTTTGTCTCATTTTGTCCTTGCAGAGAGACATTTTTTGTTGGGTTTGATGGTGCAGTCTGGTTTTAAGGATTTATTTTTGTTCTTGTTCATTGTCAGAACTGGCAGTCTTTTGTGATCCAGCTTAAAGACTGGCAACTACTGGCATTCATTAACTTTCTTAGTGAGCCATTGCTTCAGTTTTACACATGAAGGTCAGTTTCCCAACCATGACAAGCACCCAGTCATGCAAAATTGCAGATCTGGAAGAGTGTCCTCAAAAAACGTCATGTAAAAAAAACCATGTTAATGTCATCAAGCTGTTAGCTGTGTTGTGGTAAATTATTCTTAGAATAAGTCAGGATATTTTGGTCTCAGCTGCATTTTTCTCTTGTTTGTGTCTCTCTTACTTAAGTGCTGAAGTGACTCTTAAAACAAGAGTATGTCTTCTGTTCTTTTGATCCTTTATTAGACTTTGAATCTGAGGGAACTTGTTTTATTCAAAGAATTATCCAACCTAGGGTCACTGGGGGCTCTGTAGTACCTCATAGCTAATATAAGAGTAGGGACAGTAAGGTCCATGAGATTTTGGATAAAGGCAGGATTTTTGTGATTTCTCTGTACACCTCTACAGTTGAGTTTAAATCAAACAATCAGTATGTGACTCCCAGGCGCCCTTAAGTATTCTCAAGGGGATAAAAAGCTGGTCCAATGTTCTAGCACCAGGACAAAAACCACATTGTTCCTCCTGAATCTGAGGTTCAACTGGTGAACCAGGGATTCCTTTCGGAGTGACTGACTCAGGAGGAAGAGCAGACCATCTACTAATCAAAAGGCTGGTGGTTGGTGAGTCCGCATGCCAAATACCCTTGGGCTAGATACTAACCGATTATCATTCAAAGCATGAATGTGTGTGAATGTCAGATAGAAAGCACTTGTGCATTTATGCAGAAAAAGCACTTCATACTCAAAGTATAAAGTGCTTTGAGTGCTTAAGTAAAGTAGAAAAGCACTATATAAGAACCAGTTCATTTACCAATAACTATTCAACTCTTCTCCAGCACCCTGCCTCAGACTTTGCCGGGGGGGCAGACATCTTAAAGATGGGAACCACCACGCCAGTCTTGGATAACCTTATCTACCTTATCTACCCCAGGGGCTCTGCCACTGAGCAGTTGTTTAACTGCATCAGTAACCTCACCCCAACAAGAAGCGGATGGTCACTCTCTTTCCCAGATTCTGGTTCCATTGCAGAAGGGAAGGCAGTGGGATTGAGGAGTTCCTTAGTGTTCCTTTAACTGCCTGATTACATTCTCAGTTGAAATCAGCAGCATCCCACCCCACTATATACAGTTTGATTTGAACATTGCTTTACCCTGAAATGAAGATCTTGTGGAAGGGGCCTCTGCATTGCCCTAAAATGTGGTATCAACATTCATGGTATCAGGTGACTCTGACTGATTTTAATGAAAACACCCGACTTTACCTTTGTAACTATTAGGAGCTCAAAGTTTTTACGCATTCTGTAAAATATATCTCTCGACTGGTTGACTTTCCCACATAATTAATTTAAACATCTATATGATTTCCTTTGCTCATACAATAGTCTGCACACACATACAATGGTGGTTATGACAGCTGGCCTGACCTTAACTCAGAATCAAAATAAGCCACTTGCTTACCCACTGATCACTTACACACACGCATTCATCCACACGCTCAGACTGCTCAGAGATTGGACGGCAGCTAATAAGATGATCGTTAATCCTCTGGGCTAAAGGTAGAGTAATGGCCCCCTCTGTTTCCCCCGCACGTGAACATACCAAAGAACTCAAATTCACAAAAGGAAATCATCACATTTACACCGATGCCAGCTTCAAATGAAGTCCAGCTAAGACAGAGAGGAAGATTAAGCTTGAGCAAATTGACAGCAGACAGACACAGAGTGCGAAGCTGTGGGTTATTTTAATGCTAGAGACAGCAAAGGTGATCTTATTAAGAAGTGAGGGAGGAAGAGAGACGAAGGAATGAGGGGAGGAAGGAAAGACACCATTTAGGGCTACCCGCTCTGTGGCATGGCAGAGGCTAAAACAGGACATAACTTGTGAACTTAAAGGTAGGACTTTACTATTTGTTTTTTTCTGTCTTATGTAATACTGTTTTGTTTATGTGAATAACCATTATGGGTAACTAAGAGTTTATGTTGTGCAGATTAGGTAGTCTGGGTACCATCGGGCCAGTTGTGGTCAAAATACTACCAGGTCAGTTTGGGACAGAGCTGGACAGAGCCAGCTAGGTAGTGAAATAAGAATGCAGGCTTTTTTTTTTTTTATCAGAAATAGTAGCATTATAGTTATGAATCATAAATGAATAGAAGAAAAAAAGAGGAAAAGCATGAACAAATCAAAGATTTAAAAAAAGGTTGATTGTAATTTATTCTAAACTCCACCATCCACTGTAGTTATCATTCTTTGTCTCTTTCGGGTCTTTGTTAAATGAGTCCCAAATAGGCTTTGTACTTCTGTCTCAAACAATTTACCTTTTGTCTCGTTGACCAAATAATCTGGATTGTGTAATCTTATTTGGCTAATCTGGAGTGCCTGCGGATCTGTGGGGGTGAGCATATACGTGCACTCACTGTGAGCATCGGCTTTCTCATCCAAGTCTTGGCATGCATTTCCTAAAATGTTGAATTTAGTTTTAGTAAGGTGGTCAGATGTGATGTAAAACTAGAGTTACATCGACTACCTACTTTTTTGAGTGGTTAGTTGGGGAACAATTTCTCTACCTCTCTACTAGAATCAACTTGCTACTTGTTTTAACCTACATACCCATGAATTTAAACTGTAATTTGAGTATGACACCATAAATAATAAACATTGTTCCAAACAACCTTAGTCTGCTATGCCTGCAAATAGCTTTTTGACTGATGACCAATGACTTTTACTAACTGAATGTTTAAATCATCATAAAAGTGTCCTGACATCACTGCACAGAGTTGTTAATTATTGTTGAAAATTCTGACATTTAACACTGAAATGTTTGATTAAGAAACACAGACAAGACTAGTTCAATTCAATTCAATTCAACTTTATTTATACAGCACCAAATCACAACAACAGTCGCCTCAAGGTGCTTTATATTGTAAGGTAGACCCTACAATAATACATACAGAGAAAAAAACCCAACGGTCATATGACCCTCTGTGAGCAAGCACTCTGGTGACAGTGGGAAGGAAAAACTCCCTTTTAACAGGAAGAAACCTCCGGCAGAACAAGGCTCAGGGAGGGGCGGGGCCATCTGCTGCGACCGGTTGGGGTGAGAGAAGGAAGACAGTAGTTTCAACTATTTATAAGAAAAATAATCAAAATATAGTAAAGTGACTTTGATTGGGTAATCAACAGGGTATTTAGTCATGTGTAAACTATTACATATAACCTTCCCAACAATGGTGATGATACTGTATGTCAGTATTGTGTCATAGAAGTGTTGTTGCTTCCCTCTTAGTGGCCAATACTTTTGCATCAGTGAAAAACAGTGAATTAATGTTAAAAGGTGTGTCTTCCCAAACAGGTCAGTGCCGTTACCATGGCAAGGGCTGGGCGTCCTGCATCTGAGAGCTACCAGCCAGCTTGCTTTTCTGTCAGTCAGTCGCTCTCTTACTCCAGTGGAGCTCCAAAGGTGGAGGATGAAGATGATCAGGCACCAATTTTCTCCCTGTCTAAGAGCTCCATGGATGTTTTAATGGCTGCAAGTCCGCCACACAAGCGTGATCCAGCGTGGACCAGACTGGACCTGAGGCGCAGCTCAAGCACAAACACCCACTATGAGCAGAACTCCGTGACGCTGCAGCCGCTGCACGCTTACATGTGGCAACACGTCAACACCACCAACAGCCACCAGTTAGCATCCACAACCAATAATGTTGACATCAATAGCTCTCCTGCTCTCTGCGAGCACTGGGTTTCCAACATGCACCGATGGAGCGGGTGTAGCGGTAGCACACAAAGCCGCAGCAGCACTCCGGACACAGTTGTGTCACGCCCCTCCAGTCTCATCCATGAAGCTACTTGTTCTACAGCACCAGATTCTCCGATGTCCAAACTGACCTCTCCAGAAACCACACCCTCACCGTTCATCTCCCCGCTCAACACGCCTACTTTACCACCTGTACAGACTTCTTCTTCACCACTTCTACTGAACTCACTGCAGCAGGAAGATTTACTAGAACCTTCACCTACATTCTCATCCCCAAAGATTGACAACTCTTCAAGCTTTCAGTTCCACTCTCCTGATACACTCCAGCTCACCAGCACAGAAGATGAAGGCTTCTTGGAGAATAATTCCCTTTCATTTCAGTTCCCTTCCCCAATCCTGTCCTCTGTTAGTTTAGATGAAGCAGGAGTGTCTTCAAATCCCGAATGCCTTGTTGATGACGTGATAGAACCACTGTCCAGCCCTACAGGAATACTGGAGGGTGAAGAAGCAAGAAGCCCTGTACAAATGCTTAGCTATCTGACACCTGATTCTCCAAAGCAGCAGTCAAAAACAGGACCATCTGTCTGCTATCTTGAGCTGCCGTGGCAGCCAGAGCAAATCTGTGCAGCAGGTCGAGGTTGGGGGTCACCACTTGTCTCTTCCCTGAGTGACTCACGGTTGGGTGACACTTGCAGGTGCTGCTTAAATGCCAGAGAGGGCACTGAAAGAGCCATGAAGGTAGAGCTGTTCAGGCAAGAAGCTCCAACGGTGTCACGGCCAGAAATGGCAGATGCAGCTGTGCAGACGGTCTCTCCTGTTGGCTCATGGTGGGACCTCAAGAGGAAGATTTCCACATCCA